GGGACTGTTTCAGGTCGACTGTACTGGCTTCCTGAAGCCTGGCAGTGGTTTCAACATCCCCTGCACCATGGAGTACTCCCCCATCTGCGGCACCAATGGCATCACCTACAGGAACAAGTGCCAATTCTGTACTGCTGTGGCGTAAGTGAAGGGCTCAGGGCAGGGCAGGTTTTTGGATCAGTATTTCTCTTTTTGGTATTTGGAGCATAAAGGGGTAGCTTGGTTCATGAGGCAGCTGTGCTGTTCTCATTCATTCTCCACTTGCTTTCCCCCCAAAGGAGCGGCCTGGACGTGAACCTGCAGACCTACGGAGAGTGCTTCCAGGTAAAGCCAGAAATCCGCACTCTTAACTGCTCTTACATTTTGCAACACAAATTCATGGCTGAATAATAGAAATGCCTCCACTGTCCTGGTGCATTTGGCCTGGAGATAGGACTTGAGGAAAATACTTATGCCAGGGTCAACAGGTGTGAAACCTAATCCATGGCTGAGATATTTGGTCCCTCTCTAATCTGGGAACAGCAGGCAGAAGGTGCTGAGACCTTCATTTGCTGTGAAACTGGATGAGCAAGAGATGGTGCATCACTGATGCAGCAGCAGTATTAGTAGCAGTGATTCCCTGGGTGGGAGAACTTGGTGCACTGGGGCTTGTGACCACCCCCTTTCTGTCCACTTGCCTCTGCTTGCCTGCTGAACCAGAGCAGACAGTGGGAGAGCCATCCTGGAAATACCAGCACGGTCGTTCCACTACTTATAATAATATTTATTAGACTTTTTTTGCCTCCACCATCTCCCTACTCCAAGGCTGTTCCAGGCAAGCACATTCTCTGAATCTGCAGGATCGCTGGAACAGCAGAGCTTTTCAGAGCTCCTGAAAAGTGCTTTCATGCTTTGCCACATCACAAATACTAAACAAACATAGAGCACTTGTGTAGGAAAATACAGGCACCAGACGTTTTAAGCCCTGTTTTTTGTTCCATTAGCAAAATGTCAACATCGACTGCGGCAGCTTCCAGCAGAAGGGCGGCAACATGGTGTGCACCTCCGAGTACAGCCCCATCTGCGGCTCCGACGGCAGGACCTACTCAAACAAGTGCCAGTTCTGCAACGCTGTCTCGTAAGTGCAGGGCTCACCACGTGCCCAGGGAACCAGAGCAGCTCACATGCAGCTGGTGGGAGCCCCAGAGCTCCCGTTAGCTCCCATCCCTGCCCCGTGCTCCTCTCCCAGTGCTCTCTCCTCCGCCACCCCCCTTCCCCCCCAGGCACCACAGATCCTAAGCCTGAGTGAGTTTTCTCCTCCTCCCCTTGCAATTAAAAGCAGATCCCTGCTTGCAGGCTCATAGCATTGCTGGCTGCCTCCCTGTCAGGGTGATTGAAAGTGTGACCGTAGGAGGTGTCCAGAATGATGGGGTTTGTCCCAAATGTCCTCAACCTATGAAAGAGTGTAACTTGAGGAATCTGAAAAGAGGTGGCACATTAAGCGAAGTACTCTATGACTTGGAGAGCACAATGGCATTTGCGTTATTTGGGCAAAGTTAGGCTATGAAAATGAGATCCATGTCTCTAATTTTGGTCTCCCTCTCTCTCTTCAGACGCAGCCTTGGGTCTCTGTTCATCAGGCACCAGGGAGAATGCTAAGTGCTGGAGCTGGACCCTTCAACATGACACTTCCCTCACAAATTCTTCGATCAAACATGCTCTTCCTTGCTCCCTCAACTGTTATGCATCAGTCTCTGCTTTGATTGATCAATAAATTAAATGCAGCCACAATCTTGGCCATGGAGTGGTTTTTGATTTTGGTTTGGTTTTCCAGGCGGGGTAATGGTCTTCAGGCTTTTGGGTACTTTTCTGCCAGGCAGGAAAAGTGGTGAAATGAACCACAGTAAAGAGCAAAACACCAGCCCAAGCCCTCAAGAGAGAAGGTCATTCTGTATGCAAACCATCAGAAAATGCTATAAAATAGCACAACTTTGAATCTAATTTTGAAGTCTTGCAGAGTGTAAATGGATTTGTCTTTGTCACAGCACAGGAACTTGGAGGAACTGTTCCTTTTAGGGGCCTTGGCCTGGTGGGATGGTCCTGGGGGAGTGTGAAAGGGGGTGTGATCAGCTTTACCTGGTCCCACCTGGGCAAGGGGCAGGTCTGGTGGTGCATTATAAAAAGGAGGCTCATGGCAAAGGGAGGAGGTATCTCATAGGGAAGAAACTTAGGAACTGCTGCTTCCTTGAAGGGTGTGTCCATTGAGATTGTGCCCATCAGCAGAAAATTGCAGCAAGCTAGGCAAGGCTGTAATGAGCCTAATGAGAACCTGAGGAGAAATTAGACTGGGCTCAGGCTTTCAGCTTCTTGGAGAAGAGATCTAAAAAGCTGTACTGGTGGTCTTTGAGGCACAGGGTCCTTCAGGAAAAGGTTTTAGGTTTTCTAACTCCAGGAAAGAAGGGCAAGAAGATGTGCTAGCAGCTCAAATGTGTTTTCTATCTGGGGAATAAAGGTGTGAAGATAACATCTTTGTGGGAGCCTGAAGCGTGCACTGCAGGAAAAATGACATCTATGACTGTTGGTGATGATGTGCCATCTTTTTGGGTGAGTCAAGGAGTTAATATGCAAACAACACAAGCAAAAAAAATCCCAAGTGCCATGGCTAACACACTCCCTTCCTCATCCTTTCTCCACCTCCCATTCTCTTGTTATGTAAAAGAACACCTGCTGCTAAGGCTGATATTTAGGACAAAATCTGTGACTTTCAAGACACTTTTTTTGGTCTTTTCTCCTGAACTAGATAATTTCTTGACCAAGAATTTTGTAGGTGCTCCCCACCAGAATGTGAGAGACTTGTCCTTCCCTAGAGCCAGCATAGAGAGCAGAAAGAAGAATGGGAATTCTTATATTCATGGGTTCTTTTGGTGTTACTACAGGTAAGATAAATTACAGCATACCTTTGTGCCTGCTCCTAAGAAAAGAGAGAGAAATTGGAGAGTCACAAGAGTCCTCACTAATTACCTGCTTGTGTGTCTGAGAAAATAGTTAAGGAACAGTAAAAGTAGCCAGGTTGGATGTGTTTGTTGAATTGTTTTATAATTCCTTGTTGGACAAGAGGCTCACATAGTGGCCACAGAGCAGTGGAGTTCTGGCCATAGCAGGAAATGGTCTTCAGTGGCAAGGTCTTATGGTGAGCCTCCTCTTCAGAGGTAGTTTGTGGCTGAGGAAGTCAGATAGCTGCTCAGAAGGCTTTGGAAAAGCCCAAAGAAGAGCTGCTCACCTGCAGCAAAATGGGGGCAAGTGGTGAATATGTGGCTGTCTCACAAGCCTCTAGCAAGGACTTTAGAAGATGAAAGGTTTGTAGCATTTAAATCTAAAAATTGGTTGGTAGCACAGGGAGCACACACAACCAGCACAGGCTGGGAGTCAGGTTGACACCAGCAAGACTCTGCCCAGCTGCCCCTGAGGCTGCACAGCAAGGTCCAAGTGCCCTTCTCCTACCCCTGAGAGGGACAGAATTCCCCCACCTTTGCTACCAATTCCCTGCTCAGGTGTCACCAAGAAGTGGAAAGGGGCAATAACAATTTCCACCTGGCTGGAAATTCAGCCTTTTCCTCGGCTCAGCCCAGAAGGGGTTGGTCCCTGCCTGTGTTTGCTGAGGCTGGAGCCAGCCCAGCTGTGCTGCAGCAACCAAAACATTGTTTGGGCAGATAAGGGACTGAGGCATCGAGGCTGTGGTGACGTCTGAGAGCAGAAAAGGCAAACAAGGAGTGCTGTGAGTGGCAGAACTGAGCGTGGCTGGGAATGGCGCTGCGGCTGACGGGTTTGATAACTAAATTACAAGAGAGGCTGCGTCGTGAGATCACCCTTAATAGACAGCCCAGGATTCGCCTGTCAGTCATGGTTTCCCTGCCACTGTGTGGATTTTAAGATGTCTGACAAGCTGCAAACTGATTTCAGTTTGCTTCCCCAGATGTAGGGCACCCATAGCATTGCTCTCCTGCAGAAACTGGCTGAGCATGCTGGTAGCATCTTTCCTCTGTTGCTAGAAAAAATGTATAGAAATGTGATCTTTATTTATAATTTTTTTTTTCACTCCTGTGTAAAATTTGGCTGCAACTAGTTGTGTATTCAAAATTCAGTGGGGGAACTGAAACCCAGATATATCTACACACATTCCTCTCCTAAGCCTTGCCTCCTTTGGAAAACATACTAAAATTTAGGCTTATTCTTATCTGGAGAGGTGTTTGGCGAATGGTGTGCCTGAACACAAATCCTTGCACAGCCTCAGCTGGAAATAGAGCTTGGATCTGCCAATTCCCCATCAAATTCCCACCACTGCCACTTGCGGTGGGAGCAGAGCCCTAACATATGTTTGTGAATGTGAAAAACTGGGAAAACATTGACAGCTAGAGTTTAAATAGTTCAGGGAGGAGAGTCAGCAGTCCTATCTGGGACTGTGCACACAGCGAGGAGAGCATGTCACAGCCCAGCTCTTCTCCACCCCAACTCCACAAATTTAGAACCATCCTCAAAAATAGCCAGGGAACAACGTATAATTGGTTTCACAGACAACACATTCTCATGCTGTGATTTATTTCGTAACGTCTAGTGAGTGTCATCACTCGGTGCTGGCATTCGGAGAGGGCCCAGAGAATGAAAATTACCAGCTTCCCTGATGAATCACTGCTTTGAAAATTCACCCTTGTGAGAATCCTGTGACTATTTAGAAAAAAAAATAAAATATAATTACGTTACAAGCACTTCTATCACTCATGTAATTATCCCTTTCTAGGTTTGATGTGGACAGGGCAGCATTCCTTAAAGCACCATAAACCGGCCAGGACCAATAATGGCTTTAGAAACCAAGTGGAGAAGTTCTCACAATTAAGGTGGGGAATGAGGACAGCTATGGACAGGCACATAAATACACAGAAAGGCAGCTCTGTGTGCACACTGTGGGCTCTGGGACTGGGACAGCACCTCCTGCTCTGACCTTGGACTAAAGAGCTTCCTGCAGCATGAGGGCTACAGGTGCCTTGGTGCTTCTCAGCCTGCTGCTGCTCTCTTTCTTCTCGGGTAAGTCATCTTTTCCCTAGCCTAGAAAAGAAAAACAAACAGCAAAACCTCTCCTGACAACAAATTTTGGAAAGTCTTGATCACTGGCTGACAGGCTTGAAGATAAAGCTGAGCAAGTAGAAAATATCTGCAGGACTTGCTCGCTCATATGACATATTTCCACTCCTCGTGTGCCTCTGCAGTGGATAATGTAGTGGACGTGTCACTGGGAGACAGAGAGAGCAAATTCTGAGCATTTCTTCAGCAAATATACCAAAGCAGAGTGTAATTATGAATTTTTGGTACAAGCGTTCACTGGAGAGTTTTGCTGAACCAGTTAGAGAAGAAACTCGCTCACCTCCAGGTCATCTGCTCTTGTTTTGATCCTGAGCATCTTGGTATTTGGTGTTTTCCTTGGAGATGTGGAGACGTAATTAGATGAAAGTTTCAGCTTTCGTTGATGTTGCAGAGAAAAGCCTGAAAATTAAATTCAAATGTCCTCAAGGAGTCAGAACAAAGAGGGCAAATTAAAAGGATCCAGCAGCTATTTATCTGGAGATTTACCCATCTCTGTGATCATGTGGGGAAGCTGAGTGATGATTTTTGAACCTGTAGATCATGTCAGTGTTATTACTTGCTTGAGTCCAGCTGCCCCAGCTCTGCAAGGTGTGTGGCAACAGTTACTGAAGAAAATGTGGAACAAGAATTATTTATACTTGTTTTTCTTTGAGTAATTTGAATAAAGAAGTCACTTGAGAAAATGGCAAGCTGTGCATGGAGAAGAGGTGAATTGCTTTGTACACATTATTCGTTATGAAATATTCATCTGTCTCTAATTGAGTCTTAATTGGGCCTGGGTTCCGTCAGAAGGCTGATTCTTCCTTCCAAGGCCGGGCAGAATAGCAGCAAACCCTGTGATCTCCTGTAAAATAAACAGATGTCAAGAGCCATCATCACAAATTCTTCTGTAGCTGCATGTAATATTTATAAAACCTATTTAATGAGCTGTTTTGTAAATAATATGCAGATAGCCATACCAGTGCCTTCAGCATTACAGCAGCCTAGCCAAACCTGAGGACAGGGTAAATGTGCCAGCACCAGGAAAGAAACACCAGAGGACAACAGAAATAGCAAAAGAAGTAGGAAGGCTTGATGGATGAGGGTTGAGCTGACTGAGGGTTGAGTGGGATTTCCACTGGGGAGGGATGAGTGTAGGACAGGGTCCTTCCCCCTCCTGCCCAGAGCAGCCCCACAGCTGGCAGTGACCTTGCTGACCAGCAGGTACAGCCTCACCAAGTGCTGGGTGTTCATCCCACTCAGCTGTGACCCAGATTCTGCAGATCTGCATTCAACCCACCCTGGAGTGCCAGGCTCCCCCTTAGAGACGTGACAGGGTCGCCCCATTTCACAGCTCTGACTCAACCTACACTCCTGCCTGCTGCCTTTGATGGGAAGAAACATGAAGAGCATGGACTGATGAGCTCAGAGCCCGTGGTTACAGAGGGGATTTTGGTGCTGGTTCTGACCAGTGCTGCCTGTTCTGCTCTCTGTCACCCCGTGACATCTCTTTGTGTCTCACCTGGGCTGAGCCCATCCTGGGAGGGTGTCTGGGCTGTGCTGAGCATGGCTGGAACCCAACCTCAGGATCTCCTGCTCCACAGTCCCCTCCTGTCAGCAGCACCAGCCACTTGCTGGTGGTTCAGAGGTGCAGGAGCCTCAAAGCCTAAAAAGCCACCATGGGTTTAAAATCTCTGGGAGCACAGCTCCACATCTGATATGGCAGCTTGCTTCCCCAGGAGTGGCTGCCTTCCAGGAGATTGGGTTATGTGTCTGAGGTGTAGCTAGCAGCTGAATGAATGATTGCATGGTATTTTAGTAGCATTTTTCAAAATAGGAAAATACTAAAAAGCAATTCAGATAATGTATTTCCTGCCCCCTCTTCCCCCGTGAGGGATGACGGAGTAGGAAAAGCCTGGAGTGTGTTTCACTGTGGTTTGCATAAAAGGTTTGTGGATTTAGCTCAGGCTTTATCAGAAAGTAATGCTGACGTGTAAAACCTGTCTGGTTTTTATTTGCTTTTTTTTTTTTCCCTTTTAGTTCGAGATGTAGCAGGTCAGGAGATTGAAGAGGTTAGTGCTGCAGTTTCTGCTTGCTGAATCTGCATTAAATAGAACCAAGGAATCATTACTGGTGGAAAAGACCTCCAAGATCATCGAATCCAACCTTTGACTGATCACCACCCTGTCAACTAAACCATAGCACCGAGTGCCACATCCAGTCATGGCATTTCACTTTGGAGGAATGTTTTTATAACCAAAATCTTGGTGCTGGGTAAACAGTTTTTAATGTCTGCTGGGAGCAGGTGGGTCCTTCCAAGTATTCCCAGAGCTGGGGAGTTCACTGCTACCTGGGGAATGTTGTGTGGCCACGTTAGCAGGTAGAGCAGGGAAGTAAATGGTTGGTTTAGCAAATGCTTATGTGCTTGCACCACTTTTGACTTGGCTTCACTATCCAATGTTCTCATGAAGCAAATGGATTATTGAGTGTCCTATTTCCCTAAATTTAGTTAATCCCTGGGATTTGTAGAGAGACAAAATACCTGTACACTTCCTGGGCATAACTTTTAATTCCCTAGGGAATTTACTTATGGTTTCTCCCTCCTTCCTCTGGGAAAGCAGGAGCTTAGCAAGCACCAAACTGAGTGCAGGGTTTCGCAAGACACCTGAAGTCATGCAGCAGGGAGGTAGCTGAGCTCCAAGTGCCTGACAGAGCATCACTGCTGACTCTCCTCATGCATGCCTAGGCTAATCCACTCCTGTTGTTGGGAGGTCAAGACTTCTCCCAGGTGACTACAATTTCCTTCCTCAAGCACGGGGCCAAATTTCCCCTGAAATGTTGCTTCTGTTCATTTCTGGGAGGGCCTTTTCTGTCAGATAACAGGCAGTGTCAGCGCTTTTCAGAAAAAAGCCTTACATTAATGACCTTGGGTCCAGTTTGGAAAGTGAAACAAAGAGTATGGGGGTCCTGAAAGGGTTCTTTTTTAATTATTATTCCTAGATCTGTAGAGAGTTCCTAAACAGAAGCGTGTACTGCACGAGGGAGTCCAACCCTCACTGCGGCACGGATGGCGTCACCTATGGGAACAAGTGTGCCTTCTGCAAGGCAGTGCTGTAAGTGACACGGGGGGCACTGACACAGCAGACTTTGCCTTCATTGCCATGGATCTAGGGGTGTTCTTCATGGAGGGGAAGCCCTGCATCCAGGCTGCTCCTCGTGTATGGACCGGCCTCTGAACCGTGCCAAGCGGAACGTTTCCTCCTTGGAGCAGAGCTGTGTGCTATGAGTTAATTTTAATTCATTTCTGGGCGTTGCAGGATGCTGGTTGCCATGCTGAGAGGCAGCACAGGGCCTGAGAAGCAAATGCATCCTGCCTGTACCTTCCACAAGCACTAAATTGATGCACAATTCCCACTATGTGCCACAGGCTGCAGCTCTCACTGCCCACACTCCTGGGTACTGAGAAGTGCTGGAGGAATGTGGGAGCTGAGCCATGCCAAGTTATTCCTGAAAAGTCTGAATGAACTTTGTGGAACAAGACACAAGATCTCAGAGGAAGAACAGGATGTCTCTCCTTTTCCTGTGCTCTGTCACCTTTTAGAGGAGATGTAATAGGAGCCATCCCTGATGGATGGAATGTGCTTGAAAAATGTTTTTCCTTAGCAATCCCTACATTTAGTGTGCAGTCAAGGCTGCCTTATCCTGGGGCAAATCAGAGAATGCAAATCAGAGAAGAATGAGGAGAGGGGAAAATGGCTGGGTGCTCCTTGTGAGGTACCAGGGAGATACACTGGCACCAGTCAGGCCTGTTGGGGTGGGTGAGCTCTGTCCCACACTGCTGTGTCTGTCATTTGCTGCTTGGTCTAAGTCTCTCTCCCTCCTTTTACAGGAGGAGTGGAGGGAAAATAAGATTGAAGCACCTGGGGAAATGCTGAGTCCTCCCTGGACCGAGCAGCAGGAGCTGAGCCGCCCTTGGCCATGGACAGGAGCAGCCCATCCTCCCTCTGCTGTCTCTGCTCAATAAAATAACACTCAGCACCATTCCTTGGCTGGATTCTTTCTTCCATAAGACCCAGAAAAACGCTTTGATCCAGCTATGCTGGAGCCTGATGCTGGCTCTTCTCCCCTGTGCTGTTGCATCACCTGCTCTGGGCAAGGAACGCGATTCCCACGGCTCCGTGGGCTGTGCCCTCCTGCCCCTTCCAGCCACAGCTCCTCTGTCCCGTCCTGCCTGGCAAACTGGCACATGCTGGGCAGCCAAAAACTGCTCCTGCCCGACTCTGCCCATGCCAGGGGGTGGGTGCCAGCAGGAGCCTTGGTTCCCTTCCCAGCCTCCATAGCCCTGTTCCTTCTCTCAGGGGTTATTGTGGGAGGGTGATGGGAGAGCTGATGAGCAGCGTGACTGCATATGCCTCATCTCCTTTGGAAAGCAGAGACAAGCAAGCTGAGGGTAGGGAAATATTGCTCCATTTAAGCCTGCACCCAGAAGATGGCAGGTGGAGGCTGGTTTTAGGCAGAAGCTGCAAGGATCTTCTTCCCAAATGAGCCTTTTCCCTTCTTTCCTCTTAGAGAACGCTTTGTCTTGGAAACTGTGAACTCACCAGCGTTGCTTTCCTACTGCCAAGTGGCTTCTCATGCTAATAAAATTATATTTAGAAGAGAGCCAGATTGTATAAATTGTCAATAATTTTAAAAAAATATTCCCTGGAGCAGAAGAGCTGTGGGCTTACTCGCCCCTTCTCTAGGATAAATTCTCTCTGAATTATACACAGACCTTGATTTTCTAGGCACACATGTTTGCATTTATTTACAATTTTTAATACACAGACTTCATTCCTTTCTTCACTTTTCACACTGCTGCCCTCTCTCTTCTTCACTCTGGCTGACAAATCCCTCTTTGTGCAAACACAAGAAAAGTAATTTTACGGTCTCTCCCCTTTTACTGTGCAAAACTCTCACAGGGAAAATACTTGTGGCATTCTCTTGTTAAAACATTGGCAGTAGATCAATGGGACAGTAGCACCTTCATGTTAAACACTTAACTTTCAAAGGGAGCTTTAGATTTATCATGAGCCTCAGGGGTCAACATCTTTTGCAAGCACCTAAATGCTGAGCACCTAAACCTTTGGACCTTGTTTGGACAGAGCTTGAGCATTCGCCTCTCATGCCACAATCCCAGCTTTGAACTCAGCTGGGGCACAATGCCTAAAAAGAGAGGCTTCAGCAAGGTGCTCAGCACACCTAATACCAGCTTCTTCTCTGGTAATCCACATAACCCAGTTCTGGGAAATGCTTTGTCATTTGGTAACTTCCCAGGCAGCCAGTGGCTGAGCTGCACAGGCAAAGCTTTGTTTTGGAGCTTCTCTCAGACCATCAGCCTTTGATCCTGATGTTTTCCCCATCCCAGCCTACTGGATTGTTGCAAAATCTGCCACCTCTTCTTTGAAGCAGACCAACCCTCTGTGGCCCAGTTGTACAGCCTGGGCCCTTGTTTGGATTTAAATTCAGATGTTATGTTTGCAAACTCCACAGGACATGCAGAGCATGGGTGGGATTGAGGGGAGTAAGAGGCACAAGTGGTCCTGAAGAAGACATTGGGAAAGTGCCTCTCCAACCCTCCAGCTTGGAGCAGGATGGCCTCCACCACTTCTCCTACTGTGTTATCCTGTGATGATCCTGTTACATTGTGAGGCACTGGACCAGCACCATGTTCAGAGGACAAGGGCAAAAAGACCCCATTTTTAGCATGGAAAATGACATTTTAATGAGAGAAGAGCCATGGGGCATCTTTAAGCCTGAGATGGCAATCAGTGACTCCAAACTTCCCACAGCATATTGCCATATCTAATCCTTTTAAATCTGGAGGCTGAGATAACAAGGACAGATCACAAGAGAACAGAAATTGCAGAAGTTCAGTGTTAAATAACCATCATTTATCTTGGTTTTTTTTTCAGAGAAAATAGCAAATAAAACACCTCCATACCTCACAGACCCAACTACCATCTCCTCCACCTGTGCCAGGGAAGTGGAAAGGGGGATTAATCTGCTTTGAGGAAATGACTTCCCTCACCTGGGGACACGTCCCAAAATGTTGTCCCCAGGAGAGGCCAAGAGAGGCAGAGCTCCAACAAAGGCCACTTCAGCTGTGATCCATCTGAGCAGGCTGGTTCCATGAATGGTTCCAGTTAACTGGGATGGAAGGGATGCTTTGCTGGTGCCAGGTGTGCTCACCCTTGGGTTTTGAAAGCTGGATTCACCTTCCCAGTGGGGCTGATGGATCCCTGGGACAGGGCAGCAGTGGCCAAAGGATGCCCAGCCTGAGCCCCCGTCTGTGTCTGGCTTCCTCCCCAGAAACACACACCAAAGCAGAATTCAAACCTTCAGCCACTGTTTTTCCTTGGTTTTCTTCTTACACCTTTGAAATTGTGTTGGGTTTGGGTTGTTTATGTGGGGTTTTTTTGTGTTTTTTGTTTTGTTTTGTTTTTTGACAGCTTTGGAAGGTGAGTGAGTCATGATACATTTGAGATCTCTCTTAGGTAACATCTAAGATGAGCATCTTCACAGCTCTTCTCCTGGGAGGAAGGGGCAGAGGCTGGGGTGGGAGCCACCCCTGGCAGTGGAATGAGGGCCAGGCTCTCCCCACACCTCACTCAGTCCCCTCACCAGCTGAAATGCAACCAGAATGAATTCTGTGCATGGTCTGAGGGCAAGGCAGCCACTGCTCACAGCTGAGCACCCTCCTGTGACCAGCCCATGCCCATGGCAAAGGGAAGGAGGTTATTTCCCTCTCACAGCCTCACTCTGCTGGTGCTGCAGCTGATCCTTTACTGTGTCCAGCTCTTGGCCCATTTAACTTGTGAGCTCAACTGTGCTTCCTCCTCCTCCTCCTCCTCCCCAGCACAGGCACGTGGCACTGGCACAGCTCACTGGGATCCTTTGCCCTACTTTTTTCCCTTGACATTCACAGTGTTTGACAGGGCTTTTCAAGCTGCCATGGGATGATCCAAGGGTGGTGGTGGTGCTGACTGCAGGGTTCCCACAGCCTGGCTGGGGAGGAAGCTCTGGACTTGGTTATCATTCAGGTTCATCTTCTTTTCCCAAAGAGGAGCAGGCTGGAGCAGCTTGGGAAGGACTCTGGTCCAACCTCCTGCTCAGGGCAGGGTTAGTGCTGAGATCTTATCAGGCCCCTCAGGGCTCTACCCAGCTGAGAGCCCTCAAAGGTGGATGTGCAACCTCCTCCTTGGGCTGTCTGTGCCAGGATTTGGCAAAGAATTTTTTCCTTGTGTACCCAATTTCAACACCTTTTCTTCCAACTGTCTCATCTCCAAACCATGCACCACCATGAAGAGTCTGAATCCACCTGCTCAGGAACCTGCTTTTTTACTGGTCATTGATGTTACATCCCTCTGAAATCTCCTTCTCACCAGGCTGAGTGACCCCACCTCCCTCTGCCTCCTCTCACTGAGCTCCAGCCCTCGACTCTCTTGCTGATTTCTCACTTCAGTTTTTTGGGTTTTTTTCTTATTTTGGGGCAGGGCTCCAAACTGAACAGTGGATGGGATCCTGAGCCATGGGGACAGAGAGAATGATTGCTCACGATGGGAGAGCTGTAGGAGAGTTTCAGGGCACTGCAAAGATGAGATGGTGACATTTGCAGGGAGCAGCAGGAGGATGTCAGAGTGCATTGGGGCCCTCATGGATTAGAGAACAGCTGAGCCTGCCCTGGGGTGAAAGGGCTGCCAGATGTTGAGAATCAGCCAACAATTCCCTCCATCACAGCTGGAGGGCTTAAATAGGAGCCTGGGGAAGGGATTTGTCTGTTTGCATGGACTACAGAGCAAAGAGAAGGTGAGGGGTGTGCTTAGTGGTGTGAGTGGTGGTGTTTGTTTTTTGGGAGCTGGTGGGGGTGTTGTGGGTTTCTTGCCTGCTTTTGTGGGTGGGTTGTTTGTGGGTTTTTTCCCCCAGAAATTAACAATGTAGTTTAAGAGCTTCTATCAGGAGCAGCTGCAGTAATTGTGTGCGGTCTAGGTGTCCTATAAGGCAGCTCAGAAAATGCTGGAGAAGGCTTTGAAAATGTGGAAGACAAGGGTTACCCCAATACAGAAAGGAAGAATGGGGGAGGAACAAGGTTTTACCCCTATGGAAATGCAGGTGTCACAGGAAGAGCAGCTCGTCTCAAACCCCCAAGTGAGGTGGTGCTTCAAGCACAGCTTTGGCTTTGTCACTCATGGGACAATGAGGGACAAGGGCTTCAAGAAGAAGGTAATTTCCTCAGGATTCTGGAGACAGCAGGGCTTTGGCACAGCTTCAATCAGGACTTGAAGGATAAGGTCAAAACTGAGTTTCTGCAGGGGCAGAGGGATGCCCTCCACCCTTTGAAGCTAAAATTGCTCAATTAATTGTGAACGAACAGAAACGTTGCTGCCATGGCAGGGGCTGCCTCTGACACTTCTGGCCTTCCCGAGGAATGTTGTGTCTTTCTGTGGCAGGGTGATTTTGGGCAGTCACCTGTGACAAAGCCAGGCGATAAACTCATCTCAACTCCTTCTAGCCATGCCCTAAATCCTCATGCACAGTTACACCGGGCCAGCGGGGCTCTGCTTTGGCCTGATCGTGGTGCTCCCCATTAGAACAGAGCCAGGGGAGCACAGGGGGCCCCCGGCCCTCCGTGTCCCGCAGGATGCGCCGTTCCCGGGCATTGGGCTCCCTCTGGTGACCGCCGGGAACCGGGAGCGGGCTCTGCTCCGGCTGCACAGGCTCCTTCCGCAGAGCAGCCCCAAGGCCCGGCCTCTGGGAGGAGGTCAGCCCTGCAAAAATGAGAAAAATGGCAAAATGTAACTTTAGGGGTCCTAGGGCTCTGCTGGGGCAGGATCCATCGCCTCCCATGCAGAAGCTCAGGCACAGGGAGCAGTCCCCTTCATGTAAGGGGGAAAAGGGAATGAATTCCTTGGCCTGGGAGTACTCATCCCC